GCGCCGCCCGGGGGGGAAGGGGTGGGGGGGGCGGCTCGACCCAGCCATGCCAGTCCGCCTCCCCGCGCGGTCGCGAGTGATCGCGAATTCGAGTTTGGGGGTTTGGGGCTTGCGGTCCTGGCGGCGGCGGGGGCACAGGCGGCCGCTGAACGAGGCCGTCGGCCGTCAGCGGCAAAGACAGAGAAGTCATCGCCATCGTCAATGCATCGCCACATCGCGCTGCCATCATTACCCTGCCACGAGGAGGAGGAGGAGGAGAGGAGGAGGAGGAGGAAAGGGAGGAGGAGGAGGGGGAGGATGGGGGGGGGGGCGAGGGAGAGAGAGAGAGGGAGAGAGAGAGAGAGAGAGGGAGGGCGCGAGCCCTATGTCTGCCGCGGATTTCCTGGGTCGGCGCTGCCCCCTCCTGGCAGCCCCCGCGAGGGCCGCTCCTCCAAAAGAGAGCACAGCACAGCAAGAGGGCTCTGGAGAGAGAGAGAGAGAGAGAGAGAGAGAGAGAGAGAGAGAGAGAGAAAGAGAGAGAGATACACGTTTAGGTGTTCAGGTTACTACGTCGTATAGCGTGCAGTCAAAAGCCGCATGCGAAGTGCATGTTCTGCGTATCGTGATAGTATCGTGATAGTATCTACATACGTTTGCATCGCGTATCCCCGCTGCATCGCGATAGTATCTACACGCGCTTACATCGCGTATCCCCCGTGAATCGTAATAGTATCTAGATACGTTTGCAGCACCAAACCTATCCAGGAATCGCATTGGTTTTGTATTGTTTTCCTATCGGGTAAGATTTGCAGAAATCATCGTGCGTGGGCCTTCTCAAGAACGTAAGTATAGGCTTCTCTCTGCAGTTACGGCGGCCTACCCATCCCTCGTGATCAGGAATGTGATCGATGATGTACCCATGCAGTCTATTGGTACGGTGAGGTTTGTGTGTGTGTGGGGGGGGGGGGGGGGGGGGGAGCTGGGTGGAGCTGGGGTAATGCTTAAGGAAGGGTTTGAGAAACTTGAGCTTGTTCGATCGGGGAAAAAGACCAAGTGCAGGTCCTCGTGCAAGGAATTAGATGTTGTGTTCAGCGGTATGTGGGGTCAGTATGGGTTCAAGTCTCAAGTTGCTGTCCGTTCGTTGGGGTGTGACGCAGTGGCGAGACGCCTACGGCGAAACCCTACCGCACGCGCTCGGCTTTTGAAGGCATCTAATCGGTCCAGAAGATTGCTGAGATTGAAGAATGCAGGTGCTTTTGTTGGCAACCTTCAGCGCGCTGGACCCCAAGCTGCAGGGCTCTGGGGATCTGCGGTGGCAGGGCTGTGCCCTATGCAGTTACACGCCATGAGACTTGCAGCATCACGCAGCCTGACCAAGGACAAGTCGGGGGCCCTCATGTCGTTCAGGCTCAGGTTGCACCCAGTCGGAGCCCGCACGGACCTTTATGTTACTTACCATACAACTGTGGTCTTACAGTGGTGTAGGGCGATCTGGGATGGTTCTCCTGGGCTGGATGTTATGCAGCTGGTATTTGAGAAAGCTGTGGACGACCTCTGGCAGGTCAAGAGACCCTGGAATATTTGTACCAGTCCTGCACGCGTATATTTGCTCACGCTGCGAGAGTTAGGCTGGGCGCCTACCTCAGCAAGACAGGTCTCGACTGCTCAAGGTGAAGTGGTTGACCTGCTGTCTCTATCGACGCTAATGGTTAGCAGTCTTGCGCGGCGTGATGCAGGACACTGGGCGGACAAACGTGCTCCTTCTAAGGCCTAAGCTCAACGGTGTCTGGTGTAGGCCTGTTCTGCGGGAAGGGGCTAGAGACCTTCTGAAGATTGGGTGCAAGCAAGTCTGGGGACAGCACAAGTCTGGGGACAGCACCATCAAGCGTGTGTGAAGAATGTATTCGCTCTAGGTACCTGGACTCAGGCTCGCCTTAAGGACCACGGGCTGGCCGATGACGACATCTGCCAGCTGTGCCACGCCAGCAAGGGCACTCTGTTTCACAGGAGGTTCGAGTGCGAAGCATGTGACGGAGATAGACGTCAATATGTGTCCGCCGCATGTTCCGCCGCTGCGAGAAGGGCCAAGGAATGGGGTCAGGATCTTGAGAAATATGCTGCTGGGGTGCTTCCTCATCCTCGAGAACTGATCCCTCCTCCTCTCTCTCTGTCTGAGTGTCAAGTGTTTTGGTTTAACAAGCCGGCCTCTGGTAGGCTCAGTGGTATAATTTTCACTGATGGATCAGCGATCAACCCCCAGTGCGAAGATATCCGCAGAGCGGGATGGAGTTTGGTCCAAACCAACGAATTCGGTGATGTGATTTCAGCGGCCTATGGGCCTGCGCCTCGCGAAGAGGCCCCGTGGCAACAGGCCCGTGATGGTGAGGACTACGCCCGCAGAATGGCGTCAGAGCTTGTTGACCCGCTTTCTGACAACACGTTTTTCACTGACTTCCAGGGGACCCTTGGTTGTTTTTGGGACAGGGCCAGTAGTTGCTCTTCCCAGAACCCGCGGGCCCATCTCTGGACCAAGGTTTGGCATGTTTTTGAGAATGGTGTGTCTGTTTTTAAAGTAAAGGGGCATGCTAGTGTAGTTGATGTTCTCAATGGTAGCTGCTCGGAGGCTGAGCGGCTCGGTAATCAGCATGCCGACAGATTTGCCAAGTTCGGAGCTGCGTGCCACCCTCTGCCTGAGCAGCTCCTTGCTATCCGTTCTGCGCTGGTTGAGCATCAGAAGGAGCTGCTCCGATGGGGTGGCATGCAAGATGTCATGATGGCTGACAGAGGCTGGCAGGACTCGTCTGGCTTCCCTGAGCCCGTTGAGGTGAGCGGAAGCAACGAGTGCGAGCCCCAGCCCCAGCCATCCAAATCTTCTTCTGCCAGGCTGGTTGCGCGTCTTTGCAAGGAAGGCCGTCGGAGGTGGGCACCGCGTGTCGATTTCAAGGTGCCCCTGCTCTCTGGCACGGCCGAAGGTCTTCCTGATGAGGTTTTAAGCGAGACCACCCTCTTGTCCCGACTGCAGGGCCACAGCCTTTGCGAAGCGAATGTTTTCGTCAGGGACGGTGGGAGGGCGGCCGGGAGCGGGTGGGTGATCTGCTGCTTGAAGTGTGGTGGATATGCATGGTCAGGTGTCATGTCCCTTGCTGGCAACTGTCAAGGCCAGCCGAGGACGAATGACCTCAGACGACACAGATCGAGGTTCCTTCGTGGTGAGTTTCCCTCGTGGGCGAAGCAATATGCAGGGTAGACTGGTTTCTGGGCTTGGTTCCCCGTCCCCCTTGGACCTGCTGGCCCTTCTCAGGGCCGCTCACAGAGGGATCCTGGTCAGGCGTGCTGATGACAACGATCATGCCGCCCATGATCCAGGCCTGTGGGAGGAAAGTTGGGGCCCTGCCCAGCTCCTCTCAAGGCATGGCCTGGTGTTCCCCGCTCAGCAGTCACACGTAACTTGTTGAGTGAGTTTTGTGTTTGGGGCGGCTGGCACTCGACGGCCTCTTCCATTGAGTACCGTACAGTAACGGTATCTCACCGCCCGGTTTGGGGGTTTGAGCCTCTAGGTCGTGTTCCGACCCCCTCTTATGCCGCAGTTGCGGCTGGGTCCTCTGGCGCCAGCGGAAGCGGCGCGTGGAGGGCGGAGGATCCCGCGAGGGAGTGGAGGGCGGGATGGCGCGCTGATGAGTGGTCGAGCTGGGCAGGATGGCGCGCTGATGAGCAGAAGTGGTGGGATGATAATCGCGCCGCAGTTGCGGACAACGCCACGGAGGGTTCGCCTCCTAATCGCATGTGGGCGGGCATGCCCGACCAGACGCAGAACGCGGGCCGCGCGGGGCCGTGGAACGACCGCGCTCCCTGGACCTACGAAACGACACGTTGGTAATGGCCGCAGTTGCGGGCAAGTGCAGCAGAAGGTTTGCGGCCGCAGTTGCGGGCAAGTGCAGCAGAAGGTTTGTGGCCGCAGTTGTGGACAGCGCTTCGTCGAGACAAGTTGGCAAATCATCATTGACGTCATCGCCATCTTCCTCATCGATCGCCATCACCACCATCATCCTGCAGCTGCTGCCCCTCATGTCGCCTTGCGAGGTAAGCGTTCAAAGCAGTCCCAGGGGACTGCTCTGAAGACTGCCTTGTAGCGTTCAAATCAGTCCCATGGTACTGCTTTGAAACGACTTCTCGTCCTCATTATAAGGGCTCCTGGATTAGAGCAACACTTCGAAAACAACCCGCCCTCAATCCGTTAAACGTTTCTGCATGCCGTTGAAAACAATGCGCACGGCGCTAAGGCGAGAGCCACATGTTGAAAACCATCCGCCCTCCATGTGTGAAACTGTTGTCGGCGTTTTGGCTCCAGGCTCGTACATGGTGAGAAAGTCTCAGGCGAGACGCCTGGCCCGCCTTTTCCGACCTGGCCTCGGGGTGCGACAGGGAGGATTTCAGAGATGGAAATAATGGAGGATGAGGGTGAGGGGGAGGAGCAGGAATAGGCGGATGAGGAAGAGGAGGAGGAGGAGGAAGAAGGCCAGCAGAAAAGCCAGTAGCCTCTTGGATGCCTCCCGGAGCCTCTTCGGATTTCTTCCGAGAGTTGCTTGGAGTCCTTTTGGGGCGTTTTGAGCGTATCCTGGCAGTCCCAGGGGCCGCTGAGGGCGTCTTGGGCGCCTCTGGTGAGCCTTTGGGAAGATTTTTGTTGGGGCATCTTTGGGGCATCATCTTGGGGCCCCCTTGGTCTCTGAGTGGCCTCTTGGGGCCTCCTGGGCACCTTGTGGCCGTCTTGCGGCACCCTGGGGAGCCTCGGAGGCCATCTTTGGGGCCATTTTGGAGGAGATCGCTCAAAGGAGGAGAGCCCCCTAATTAAGGGCCCCCCTCCCAGGAGGCCAAACATTTGCCAAAACCTGTGTACATAAAATCAATCCGTATCCATTTTGGCTCAAGTCATGTTGGCTTAAGCCCCCGGCCAACGCCAGCGCTGGGCGTGCCCAGTCGGATATCTCGCTGGTCGCGGGCGCGGCCAGAACAGCACTGCCTCAATGCATACATCATGGTTGGGCTGCGCGGACGTCGAAAACCTAGCCGACACGCCGATAGAACAGCCCGGACAGGACCCTCGTTCCTGTCGCCCCCCACCCCACGAGTTCCGCACACTGTTGACGAAGTTGCTTGTGGCCCACAACCTCGAGGTGAGCTACCTCGAGGAAGAAATCTCGAGGCTGTCGAACCAGCAGAACGATGAATCGGTACGAAATCGGCCCAAGGGCACGCCCCACGGGCGCGCCCCGGACGCACGCCCGGGGGGCACGCCCGCGGGCGCGACCCCGCGAGGCACCACGAGGACGCCCCGCGACGAGCACAGCGACGCCCACCGCGACGCCCAACCCAGCCAGGCCAGAGGCATCAGCGAGCCCCCATCAGCAGCGCACGACAGCCGATTCCCGCGCGTGCACGACGCCCAGCAGCACCACACGCCCACAGGCAACGCCGCGGCGCGGGACAGCCAGCCCAATCTCAGAGTTCCGCCTGAAGTCTCCTTCAGCAGCGACGTGTCAGAGAGCGCCGAGGAGGACAAGCCTCCAAGTTTGTCCCCGAGTGGACGTTCGGCGGATGCGGCAAGCCAGGATGATTGTGAGGACGAGGCTGTGGGTCAGCTCGGCCGCGGCCAGTACGTGTGGCAGTGGCAGCGCACCACGGGTGGCTTTCGTAACTACACTGCGGATCAGAATGACCAGATCGAGAAGGCCTACCAGCGCGGCCAGTCCAAGGTGCGCATCAAGAGCGGGCAGGATGGTAAGACGGTGATGGAGATGTTCTTCGTCGATATGGTCCAGTTGGACCCCAAGTCACGTAACACCCGGAGCGTTCGCCGGGTTTGTGTCAAGGTTTGGTACGTCGAGTGGAGGCGTCATGCCCACGCCGTGGTGAGGTCGATTTTCCATGGCGGGTCACGCTGGGAGTCCTACGAGAAGTACAAGAAGCGCCAGCACGGCTTGCTCGGAATAGGTGAAGGAGAAAAGGAGGGTGACCTGTCTTTTAGTCACCTCGGGCCAGTCGACACATTTTCCAGTCAAATTGTTTATTCTGAAAAAGCCGACAACATCTGCACTAGGATGACTGAGAGCTCCGTCTTTTTCGTGGTCGCGATGCTATTGACGTTGCTGAACCTGCTATGGATCGGGATCAGCACGGAGCTTGGCGAGTTCAACCAGAGTTTGTGGAATCGGGGCACAGAGTCCATTATAATCGAGCATATCTTCACGCTTTACAGTATTGTCGAGATCGTGCTCCAAATCATGAGCATGAAGCACAGGTCAAAGTGCTTTTTCAGCCCCTGGTTCCGCCTTGACGCAGCGTGCACTGTTGCAATCGTGCTGGAGGTTCTCGTGGCCCCCCAGGTGCCAGCCGCCGCAGGTTCCCTGCTCGCCTACCAGGTGCTGCGACTGACGCGGCTGGTGTGGCTGCTCAAGTTGACGCGCGCAAGGCGGGCCGTGGGGGCTATTCTGAACGGGATGGCCAGTGGCATGCGCTCGGCGGCTGACGTCTGGATCCTTATCGCCGTCCTCCTGTACACCTGTGGCGTGCTGCTCACCGCCACCAGCCATCGCAGCGAGCATCTGAGGGAGCGGTACTTCGGGTCTGTGGGTCACACGATCTTGTCGCTGCTTTCCCACGGCGTTGCCATGGACGGTCTTAGTGAATTCTTCGACGACTTGCGTGCTCATCACGCGATCTTCGAAGCGTCGGTGTTTGCCACGTTCGTGTTCCTGACCTATTTCGGGCTGTTGAACATGCTTGTTGGTGTTTTTTTGTAACGTCGCCATTGAAACAAGGCTGCACGATAAGGACATAGAGGAGATTGCTTACCTCGAGCGCCATCTTGAGGGGGCCGTCAAGTGTTACATGGATGACAACGGTGACCTGCATATTAATGGTGATACGTTCCAGCTGATCATGCAGAACGCCGACGTGCTAGAAACTCTTCGAGAGTGTGGGACCGACGTCGACGGGCTCTTGATGTTGACCGAGGTCTTGTTTCCTACTGAAGACTCCGTGATTACATATCAAGAATTTTTCTCTGTCATCGTGCGCCTCCGTAAGGGAAAGCCCGTGAGCATGTCTGAGGTCATCGGGCTTCAGGAGTTCATGAAAGCGAAGATGGATCAGCTCGATGAGAGTATTCGAGACGGAATGCAATTGGAGAGCAGAGAGGCGTCAAGGGTTGGCAGCGTCGTTGACGCAGATAGAGTGCGTCGCAGGGTCACGCAGTTGCCCGCAGAGGTACGCCCCGAGGATCGAATGTCTGTGATGACTCCTGTTCGAGAAAGCGCGAATTCTTCGAAATCTCCACACACTCCAGATAGTCTATCGCTACTCAAGCCTCAGTCCCAGGCAGACAAGATACGCAAGAATTGGATCAGCAACTTGGGAGATTCTCGGCAGCGCTCCTTCTGAGGCCCTCCGAGCGCCCACCCACGCATATCACGGGAATGCGCCCCAGCGGTATTCCGTCCTTTCTCCTTCTCCTCTCGCTTTTCCTGTCGCTCCACTACCGGCCAGCCAGCCAGCCAGCCGTGTGGCCTAGGCACTGCTTTCAATGCCAGCTGATGTCGCATCAGCAATCTCAATCTGAATGCTTGCGTAGAGGATTGGCACCAAAGAGTGCATCGGACGTTCGGCAGTCCCCTGGCGCGCCCACCAGGTCGCGCGTAAGGTTTTTGTTCCCCACATGTGTCGTAGGGTCATGGTTTTCTTCCCTGCCGCGGCGCACCCGCGTCTCCTCACCTCCCCTCCTCCCTCTTCTTCCTCTCCTCCCCCGGCTCCTCTTCCCTCCTCCCTCATCCCGCCTCCCGCCTCCCGCTGCTGCGCCTCTGGCCGCGCTGAACGGGCACGCAATCGACCTTTGAAACCGCAGTGGGTTTAAAACCCTTGTTTCGGGATACTACACTCCGCGAGGGTCGCCCAACTGGGCGGCAGGAGGGTGCGGATTAATCACGGCCGTGGGGGCCCTGCTCTGCAGGACCCCGTGCGCCTACAGCACTGCGCTGGCCGTCGCGGGTGCGACCCCTTCAGCGTGGCCCTGCGGCACTGCGCCGCGTCTTTCGCCGAGGCCTCCAGTTTGCGGCTGGCGAGGTCACGGCCTCGGCCGCGGCTCGCGACCGACGCGGTGCAGGCCGCGTTGCATACATTTGGCGTCTAACTGGAAACAAAAATTAGCCGGGCGAAGGACCCGACCATATGCAGTTGTGAATGCCGCAATTGTGCTGGGTGGTGGCGGACGCATGCGGGCGGTGCCACTGGGACCTTCGGTGGAGCTCCCTATGGGGCCACGAAACGCTGTACTGGGTGGGTGAGACGCGGTCAGCAAGGGCTGTGCTGCGTGGTGGCGGACGCATGCGAGCGGTGCCACTGGGACCTTCGGTGGAGCTCCCTATGGGGCCACGAAACGCTGTACTGGGTGGGTGAAACGCAGGCAGGGAGCAAGGGCTGCGCAGGGTGGTGGCGGACGCATGCGGGCGGTGCCGCTTCGGTGGAGCTCCCTATGGGGCCACGAGACGTGTGAAGGGCGTGCCGAAAAAGGGGGTGGAACCGCATGCGAGCGCAGCCACTGGGGCCTTCGGTGGACTATGGGGCCACGAACCGTGTGAGGGGTGTGCCAATGGGGGGGGTGCGAGCGCAGCCAGGTGGAGCTCTATGAAGCGTGTGAGGGGTGTGCCGAAATGGGGGGTGGAACCGCATGCGAGCGCAGCCACTGGAGCGTTCGGTGGAGCTCCCTATGGGGCCACGAACGTGTGAGGGGTGTGCCAGAATGGGGGTGGAACCGCATGCGGGCGCAGCCACTGGGGCCTTCGGTGGAGCTCCCTATGGGGCCACGAAACGTGTGAGGGGTGTGCCAGAATGGGGGGTGGAACCGCATGCGGCGCAGCCACTGGGGCCTTCGGTGGAGCTCCCTATGGGGCCACGAAACGTGTGAGGGGTGTGCCAGAATGGGGGGTGGAACCGCATGCGGGCGCAGCCACTGGGGCCTTCGGTGGAGCTCCCTATGGGGCCACGAAACGTGTGAGGGGTGTGCCAGAATGGGGGGTGGAACCGCATGCGGGCGCAGCCACTGGGGCCTTCGGTGGAGCTCCCTATGGGGCCACGAAACGTGTGAGGGGTGTGCCAGAATGGGGGGTGGAACCGCATGCGGGCGCAGCCACTGGGGCCTTCGGTGGAGCTCCCTATGGGGCCACGAAACGTGTGAGGGGTGTGCCAGAATGGGGGGTGGAACCGCATGCGGGCGCAGCCACTGGGGCCTTCGGTGGAGCTCCCTATGGGGCCACGAAACGTGTGAGGGGTGTGCCAGAATGGGGGGTGGAACCGCATGCGGGCGCAGCCACTGGGGCCTTCGGTGGAGCTCCCTATGGGGCCACGAAACGTGTGAGGGGTGTGCCAGAATGGGGGGTGGAACCGCATGCGGGCGCAGCCACTGGGGCCTTCGGTGGAGCTCCCTATGGGGCCACGAAACGTGTGAGGGGTGTGCCAGAATGGGGGGTGGAACCGCATGCGGGCGCAGCCACTGGGGCCTTCGGTGGAGCTCCCTATGGGGCCACGAAACGTGTGAGGGGTGTGCCAGAATGGGGGGTGGAACCGCATGCGGGCGCAGCCACTGGGGCCTTCGGTGGAGCTCCCTATGGGGCCACGAAACGTGTGAGGGGTGTGCCAGAATGGGGGGTGGAACCGCATGCGGGCGCAGCCACTGGGGCCTTCGGTGGAGCTCCCTATGGGGCCACGAAACGTGTGAGGGGTGTGCCAGAATGGGGGGTGGAACCGCATGCGGGCGCAGCCACTGGGGCCTTCGGTGGAGCTCCCTATGGGGCCACGAAGCGTGTGAGGGGTGTGCCAGAATGGGTGTGGGAGGGAGAGGAGGAGGGAGGCAGGGGAGGAGGAGGAAGAAGGAGGAAGGAGGAACGCGGGGCGACGTCTCTTCAAAACGAGGACCCAACACCACAGGATGGTTTGGAAAAATTAGCCTGGCGAAGAACCCAACCATATGCAGTTGTCAGTACCGCAGCTGCGGGTTTCATCTTCAATGGAACTCCCCATAGGATTACGGAACGTGTGAGGGGTGTGCCGAGATGGGTGCCACTGGGGCATTCGGCGAAGCTCCCTATGGGGACATGAAACACGCGCGGGGCGTGCCGACATGGGTGGCGGAAACGCATGTGCGGGCCGCCACTGGGGCCTCCAGTGGAGCTCCCTATGGGTCCCCGAAACATGATGCTGCTGCGGGGGGGGGGGCGGGATGGGTGGCGGAGACGCATGTAAGCGCCGCTACTGGGGCCTTCGGTGGAGCTCCCTATGGGGCCACGAAGCGCGTGAGGGGTGTACTGGGATGTGTGGCGGGGACGCATGTGAGCGCCGCCACTGGGGCCTTCGGTGCAGCTCTCTATGGGGCCACGAAACGTGTGAGGGGTGTGCCGAATTGGGTGCGGGTGGTGACGCATGCGGGCGGCAGCACTGGGGCCTTCGGTGGATCTCCCCATGGGGCCACGAAACCTGTTGTTGTGAGGGGCGTGCCGGGATGGGTGGCGGGGACGCATGTGAGTGCGGCCGTTGGGGCTTTCGGTGGAGCTCCCTATGGGGCCACGAAACGTGTGAGGGGTGTGCCGAAGTGGGTGAGTGTGGGTGACGCATGTGAGCGCCGCCACTGGGGCCTCCGGTGGATGATGGGGCCACGAAACCTGTCAGGGATGTGCCGAAATGGGTGTGCGGGACGCATGCGCATGTGAGCGCCGCCACTGGGGCCTTCGGTGGAGCTCCCTATGGGGCCACGAAACGTGTGAGGGGTGTGCCGAAATGGGTGTGGGTGACGCATGCGGGCGCGGGCACTGGGGCCTTCGGTGGAGCTCCCTATGGAGCCACGAAACGTGTGAGGGGTGTGCCGAAATGGGTGTGGGTGACGCATGCGGGCGCGGGGCTGGGGCCTTCGGTGGAGCTCCCTATGGGCCGCGAAAGGGGTGTGCCGTGTGGAGGGGTGGAGTGCCGAAACGTGTGAGGGGTGTGCCGAAATGGGTGTGGGTGACGCATGCGGGCGCGGGCACTGGGGCCTTCGGTGGGGCTCCCTATGGAGCCACGAAGCGTGTGAGGGGTGTGCCGAAATGGGTGTGGCGTGACGCATGCGGGCGCGGGCACTGGGGCCTTCGGTGGAGCTCCCTATGGAGCCACGAAACGTGTGAGGGGTGTGCCGAAATGGGTGTGGGGGACGCATGCGGCCGCGGGCACTGGGGCCTTCGGTGGAGCTCCCTATGGAGCCACGAAACGTGTGAGGGGTGTGCCGAAATGGGTGTGGGGGACGCATGCGGCCGCGGGCACTGGGGCCTTCGGTGGAGCTCCCTATGGAGCCACGAAACGTGTGAGGGAGTGTGCCGAAATGGGTGTGGGTGACGCATGCGGGCGCGGGCACTGGGGCCTTCGGTGGAGCTCCCTATGGAGCCACGAAACGTGTGAGGGGTGTGCCGAAATGGGTGTGGGGGACGCATGCGGCGCGGGCACTGGGGCCTTCGCTCCCGGAGCCACGAAACGTGTGAGGGGTGTGCCGAAGGGTATGCGTGACGCATGCGGGCGCGGGCACTGGGCCTTCGGCGGAGATCCCTATGGAGCCACGAAACGTGTGAGGGGTGGTGCCGAAATGGGTGTACGCTTGCTGGGCATGGGGCCTTCGGTGGAGCTCCCTATGGAGCCACGAAACGGTACGGGGGGTGAAAACCAGGAAGAGGGGAGGAGGAGGAGGGAGGAGGGGGAGGAGGCAGCGGGAGGAGGAGGAGGGAACGCGGGGCACCGTCTCTTCAAAACGAGGACCCAACACCACAGGATGGTTGGGAACAAAAAAAACCTGTGTACATAAAATCAATGAGTTGGGCCTTCTCTCCGAGGCTATCTTGGACGCTCTGACGACCCGCGGCCCAGCCCGTCCAGGTCCAGGGAGAGAGGGGGAGGGGGAGTGGCAACCAGAGGCTTATTGTGTCCTGAGTAGGAGTAGGCCGGCGGTTCTAGGTGATTCAGCCGGGTTGTAGGGGAGGTCCAGGCGGAGAGGAGGAGGAGGAGGAGGAGGAGGAGGAGGAGGAGGAGGAGGAGGAGGAGTAGGAGGAGGACCAGTGCAAACCCAAGGGTCATCAACGATGTTGGACAAAATCTCTCTCCAAACTCCCTCTTCATAGGACCCTGCAACGGTTCATGTCCATTGAGGGAACTGCCTTGTTAGAAGGCAAGACAACGGTTTGAAGACCCTGAAGCATGCCAAAACATTGTTCTCGGGACGCCAACGCCCCGGATAAACCTGACTGTTGCTATTTGGCGACCCTGAATCGCGCCAGAACGCCACTCTTGAGACTTCAACACCGCGAACGAAAGTACCTGTTGCACCCTCCTAACCCTGAACCGGAATCCGTGAAACTCTGGCGGTGTTTCACATGTTGAAAAGAAACCGCGCTCAATCCGACAAATTCTTGAACATTGTAATACCAATGTGCGCGACGCTAAGGCAAGAGCCACATTTTGAAAACGGGTTCCCCTCAATCCGTGAAGCTCTTGCAATTCTTCGTAAATAAAATGTGCGTGGCGCATAGGCGCGAGCCACATGTTGACAACGGGTCGCCTACAATCCTTGAAACTCTTGCAAACGTTTAAAAAGAATATGCGCGGCGCTATGTCGAGAGCCACATTTTGAACACGGGTTCCCCTCAATCCGTGAATCTCTTTTGAAAGCGACCCGCCCTCCTCTGTGAAACTGTTGCCAATTGTGAAGCTTCAGGGTCATAAGGGGTGAGGAAGTCTCCGGCGAAACGCCTGGCCCGCCCTAAAAACGAGCCTCGGGGTGCGACAGGGAGAATTTTTAAAGAAGGAATGAAGGAGGAGGAGGAGGAGGAGGAGGAGGAGGAGGAGCTGGAGAACGCATGCGGGCGGGCGGGACAACGCCGCCAGGGTGCCTTGCCAAGCTCCGGCGCGCATTTGGCAGGCTTTTTTCAGTGTATTCGGATGTTTCCGGCAGCCTGTCGACGGTCCCCAGAGAGGTCCCTGCAGAGGCCCTCGGAGGCGTCCAGAGACCTCCAGAGGCGGGGAGACTCCTGGAGACCTCCTTAGGCTGAAGTCGGGCCTGTCCCTCTACAGGGGGATTATTCAAAAATAGTCAAAAAATAGTCTGGGGATTATTTTTTGAATATTTTTTACAATTTGGGAGTATTGTATGAGTATTTTACTTTTCGTCGAAAATCCCCCTGTAGGGGGACACGGCCGACTTCACCTTAGGCCCCGGGCTCGTTCTCCGCATCGTGGTGTGAGCGTCGCGTACATGGGGGGGGGAGATGCATTGCGGGGGGCAGGGAGGGCCGCAGAAGAGGGGCTCCTCAAGGGGCCCTCTCGGGCCCCCAAGGGGGGCGCCTCTAGGGCCCGCGAAGTGCACCTCTTTCACCCGGCCCCCACTTAGTGCCCCCCCTTTCAGCGGCGCCCACGTGGTCCGCCTCGTCTTGCTCCCCGTTTCGTTTTCCCTCCGTCTCCACTGGAGGCCCTTGCTCATCGTCCTCCTCCGGGGGCCTCCCCCTCGTCCTCAGGAGGCCCCATCCCCCTCTCCTTCTCATCTCGATCCACCCCTGATGCCCCCCACCTGGAGACCTCTTCATCTGGAGACCCATGCTCCTCCTCCTCATCATCCTTCTCCTGCCCGCTCTTCCCGCACTAGCGACCGCTGGAGTGTTCTGAGTGAGGTCGACGGTGGACGACACCGCAGGATCTCCCCTTCGGGGGGTCACCAGCCCCCGTCTTGGAGGGGCAGTCCCTGGAGCACCGGATCCCAAGCCCGAGCGTTCCAGAGTCCAGATCATGGCTTGTGGCTTGTCCCAGGGACATTAGTTTGGGCGCCTGGGTGAGGATATTCCTCCTCCGAGCTCCTCCTCCTCCTCCTCCTCCTTATCTCCGCCTGATCCTCCTCCTCCTTCTCCTCCTCCTCCTCCCCCTCCTGGTCGTCGTCGACGTCTTTCAGGGTCGGCGGCACCGGCCGTCAGGCCTTCACAATCATACAAACAACAATGGTGCTCTGTTGCACACAGTTGCTGTGGTGCACACAGGCGCCGTAGTGTACACAGGCGCTGCGGTGTACGCAGGCACTGTGGTGGGTGGGTGGGGATGTTTCGCCTGCAGCTTCAGCTGTTCTGGCCGCGCGTCTGGTGCTGTGCATCACGCCCGCCGTGTGCGTGCGCAGACCTTGGCGTTGGCATGTCGGGCAGCCAGAAGTCGTGGTGTCTGGTGGCTGCTTCCTGTTGGCCACTCCTGGAGGCCTCCTTTTGCAAGCTTGAAGGGTACAGTCAAGACTCAAACGCTGAAATAAGGACCACTTCGTTCTCAGGAGGGGCTCTGGATTTCGGGTCGCTCCTGAGACGTATGTCAGGGAAACCATTCGTGACCGAAGCCCGCCATGGCCAGAAAAGCCCCCTCCTTCCTTATTCAGCGTTCCTTATGGTAGCACGGTATCTGTTAGCGATTCGGCCGAAGCCGAAGCTGGAGCTCTGAACAGGGGGGTGCTAGTTTTATCTGGTTCGATCGCGTGCCAGTTCGAGGGTCGTTGTCCCGCCTCGGCTGTGTCTCGAGTTATGCAGCGCCCGATCACGCACCGCAGCGCCATCTTTAAGTATAGAATCCGTTCCCCTTTGTCTCCCGAGGTGTAGTTTAAGGCAGCTATTCTAGCATAGTCATCGGCAAAAAAAAGAAAAAAAGTGTCTTATCTGGGACGTCGCGGGAGTTATCCTGAGCGCTCTCTTCCTCCACCTCCTTAGTCCTCACTGCCGTCGTCAATTCCACGATCAGCCAGCAATGGTCCGTCGCCCCTGGCCCAAGCCACTCCTTTCAAGTGGCAAGCAGGCAAGGGGCTGCAATTCAAAATACTTCAGCATCCCTTCTGGCCATTATCATTTTTGTCGCAATGGGGAGCCTTAAGCGTTCCTCCGAAGAAGCCTCCAAGGAGGACGCGGAGTGCGCAGGCAAGCGTCAGAAGGCTGTAGACGCCGTCGAAGAGGACGCCCTCTTTCCCATCCCATTTAAAGTCTTGTCCGAGTGCCCTGCCGACCGGGAGCCAGGCGTCAAGCTTATCGGTACCCACGACGGCGTGTTTCATTGCGATGAGGCTCTCGGGTGCGCGATGCTTCAGATGATGCCGGCGTGGGCTGGCAGTACGGTTGTGCGCACGCGCAACGAGAAGGAGTTGGACAAGTGTGACATTGTCATCGACGTCGGCGCTGTGTACGACCACTCAAAGATGCGGTACGACCACCACCAGCGAACCTTTTCCTCGAACCTTTCCGAGGAGCACCCTGACGTTGCAGCGGACTCGAGACCTGAGGGATTCAGCACGAAGCTCTCCGCGAGCGGTCTGGTCTACAAGCACTATGGTTAAGTCGGGCATGTCGCCTTACAGGAGGAATCGGAATAACCCAGAATAGAAAAAAATAGTCGGAAGACGGTTTTTCGAGCTCTGTTGACTATTTTGTTTTTGGGTCAGACCATGTTTTATGTTTTTTTTTTCGAAAATCCGCCTGTAAGAGGACATGCCCGACCTAACACTATGGAATGAAGGACATCTTGCCGGCGCTGACCAAGGGAAGCGGTTTGCCCGACCAGAAGTTGCCAATTGTGTACAAAAAGATATATCAGGGCTTCGTCGAGGAGGTCGACGCGATTGACAACGGCATCGACATCTCTTCAGGAGAGCTCCGGTACAAGATCAGCACGAACCTCTCCGCACGCGTCGGGCAGCTCAATCCTTCGTGGAATGAAGAAGGTGGCAAGCCCAGGCGTAACGAACTTTTTCGAGACGCCATGGCACTCACGGGCCATGAGTTTCGTGAGTCAGTGCGCCGGCTTACGAAGTCTTGGTTCCCAGCGCGGTCTATTGTAGAGTCCGCTGTGTCAGCTCGCAAGAGCGTGCACGAGTCTGGAGAGATCATGGTGTTGGATAGGTATTGCCCTTGGCAGGGGCACCTCTCCGACATCGAGAAGGAGCTGAACATCGAAGGTGTGCTCAAATACGTGCTCTACCAAGACTCTGGCGGATCTTGGCGAGTTCAGGCTGTGTCCGCAGAGGGCTTTGCGTCGCGGAAAGCACTTCCCTCGACTTGGCGTGGTGTGCGAGATGCCGAGCTCTCCAGCGTTGCCGGCATCGCTGGTTGCGTGTTTTGCCACGCTTCAGGGTTTATCGGCGGTAATCAGACTCGTGACGGGGCTTTTGAGATGGCAGTCGCCTCGCTGAATTTTGTTGAGCCTGCTTGACGCTTGACAGCTGCAGCCGTCATACCCAACATGTTAAGCCTTCAGTGCCATGAATCCGCAGAAGGCACCCGTAGTCAACCACCACCAGTCCTAGCCATGGCCATCTTGGGCCACCTGATGGTGCAGACACCTCCTGGACTCGGCCAGGAGGGCGAAACGCACAAACACTATACCACGGCCCAGGAGGGCCCTGGCCAGTCATGGTGTTGTTGTGTATGTGCCTTCTGCGTAATGACCTCTGCAGCGTGGCGGGGAGTTTTGTTGAATCCAACTGGGGTGGCACCTCGTGTGACCCGCGCCCAGTAAAAGCAGCTCGCGGAATCGGCAAGCACCAGCTAGGAGTCCGAGCGATCCGATGAGAGGGAGAGCCAGAGGAGAAGCAGCAGGGCGAGGGGAGGAGGAGGAGAAGCAGGTTCTAAGTGGAGGGCAACGTCTGACAGAGCTTCTTGCCTTCAGGACTCAGGCCTCAGGCGCTAAGTTTGATATCCGCCTCGATGTTCTTCTTGGGGCAGTTCGGATGGGTGGTTTCTGGTAATTTGAGGCTGCCTTGAGGCGGGGGGGGGGCGAGCGCCCGAAACTGATCCGAACACTGCCCAAAGTTGCACAGTGATGTTGGACGTCTGTGCCCCTGGAAGTCTCCAGAGCCCCCAGAAATACAGCAGCGCAAGCGTTGTGAACACCTGCGTGCGTCCTCGACCCTCCACGTCTGGGAGTCGACCAGGTGGACCCACGACGACGACCTCGACGACCACTGCGGCGACGGGGCGGCGACGGCGCCGCCGACGACGGCGAGGAGTCTGGCCGGCGCGCGCGCGTGACAGGCCGTGGCCCGCTGCGCTCGCCTGGAGGCGGAGCGGAGCCACCTGCGCAGCGGCAACCTGGCGCTCGAGGCGCAGCTGGCCCGGGTGCGGGAGAGCCTGAAGGACACCGGCAGCGAGGCCGCTCGGAAGCCGGGTCAGGCCTCCCAACACAGCGAAGGTTTCTCGTACGAATCGGCCCTCCGGGGCCGTCCGAGAGGTCTCAGTGTGTAAGACGAGCCAGTTCTGAGGGAAGAGTCGGGACTTCCAGTGACCCCGTGTTGGAAATGTCCAGGCATCGGATGTCTGGGCAAGGGCTCAGCTGTGGGGACGGTTTCGAGCCTCCTTGGGCGCCTCCGCAGCCACGGGTGGGTGATTATTGATATGCAGGCCAGAACGACACGTCTAGGGGGTGACTCTCGACCCCCAGCCCCAGACGTCCAGATTCGAGGGCCGTTTCCCAAAAAAGCATCCGGAACCCGGTTGTCGGGCCAGGGCAGTGGAAATTGCCCGGTGCGAGAAGCCTGCCCGCGGCAAGGGTTCGAGAGTTTCAGGGTGGCCATGTGAGGAGAATTTGGGCCGTGAGACGTAAGCGCTCGTGCCAGCGCGGACCCCAGCAGTGGGTTATTCCGCTCTCGACGTGACCCTGTGTGGCGCAATCCGAGGGGATCAAGCGTATGGAGTGCAAACTGTGTGGTGCAACTCTCGCGACGCAAGCTCTGCTGTGCGATCGATGTGGGGTGCAAGTCGTTTTGACAGCATCCGCGCGGGACCACCTCCAGTGCGGCGTGCCCCCAGCAGCGCGTGCAGACCAGCACCTGCGAGTTCACACTCTTGGGGGCACCGCACAGATTGCTGCCTGTCGGGCGCAGGTGCGGCTAAGATGGCGCGGTCCTGCACCAGACAGCGGCCAGCGTTCTCGAGACGGGCAGCCAGCCTCGTCGAGGCCCCCAAATGGGGTACATTTTTCTGAGCATGAATAACACCGTCGAGAGGGGGGAGAGGAGGAGAAAGAACATGAGGGACGGGGATGAGGTGGAGGGCAGTGGATTGAGGAGGAGGAGGGGGAGGAGGAGGAGGAGGAGGAAGAGAAGAGAAGAGAAGAAGGAGGAGGAGGAGGAGGAGACGGAGGGGGAGTTCGAGAAGGAGGAGGAGAAGGAGGAATGAAGGAGGGAAGGACGGAGGAAGGGAGGAGGAGGAGGAGGAGAAGGAAGCGGAGGAGGAGGAGGATTCGCACCAGCTGAAAAGGTGCTACCACATTCAACAAGCATCGAGGGGAGAAGGCAAGGAAAAGGAGGGAAGCGACAGGCGCGACAACACCACCAGCTCGCGCAGCTGGATGCGTCTGCGCCCGTTGCTTTGATAACCGCATGCCCGCGATAATATCGGAGCTGGACAGACCTCCTACCCTGACACGTCGATTGAGGAATTGGCCGTCTTCGGTTCGCGAGAGGGCGTCGCGGCCGCCATTCTTGCGGGTCCAGGTCCGTCGGTTTCGGCCCCAGGCCGTTTCCACTAAGGGGAGGTGTGTTAAAGGGAGGTTTGTCCACCGCCGATAATAAAGCATCTCCGCTAAACCCTGAGTCATGGTTCCATGTGGGGAACTAATATTTGATGGGCGGGCGGAGCCGCGAGGCCGAAGTGTAGCACCACCAGGGAAAATACGAATCGTACACTGCATGATCGTATCATGAGTATCTTTTGGCATCCTCATCAGTGTCATCAGCATCCCTTGTTATTACCATCACCCCCTCGTAGACCCCCCTTCTAGCACACCCCTCGCACGGTTCGTGGCCCCGTGTGGTGCTTCAGTGCTATGAATACTACATCGCGGTGAGCATAGGACTCCGTAAACGAAAGAAGCTGGAGTGGGCCGAAACAGCCAAAACGCGAGCAGGGTAACGCTAGATCGTATTATGTCACAGACTTGTTGCTCCTCCCACCACTCCAGGGAAGCCCCGCCAGAGCGAGCAGGGCATCGCTGTACCCTGTTATTTCTCAGGTGCCGTACTCCTCCCTCCACATCCAGGGAAGACGCCGCCAGAGCGCCGGGGCGGCCCCACCAGGGCGAGCAGTGTATCGTCATACCAGATGACTTCCCAGTTGGACTTGTTTAGCGCCGTCATTGGTTACCACTCCCGAAGAGCAGCCATGAGCACCCCTACCCCTACACGACGAGTAGGAAACCAGCGATAGCCCTTGAGTGTTGCAAGAGACATTCGATAGGTCCGAAACTCTGACTTCCCTTAACAAAAAATCCGTCTCCTCTTCCTCCCTCTCCTCGTCGTCTTCCTCTTTGTTTGTCCTCGTCCTACTCCGTGTCCTTGTCCACCCTTGTTCTCTTCCTCACTGTACTCCTCCTTCTACTCCTCCTCCTTTTACTCCTCCTCCTCCTCCTCCTCCTCCTCCTCCTGCGCAGATCAGCTTGGAGGTCCTTCCAGACCCATCCAAACATCCCGGTATCGATATCTGTGGGAAATTCGATTATCCTCCCAGGATCCAGGACGTACCCCCATGGTGTGATTATCACGAGCACAGGGTTACCAAAGTCGTCAGATCGCAAATCGCAGGGGGGAGGAAGAGGAGGAGGAGGAGGAGGAGGAGGTAGCAGGAGAGCAGGAGGAGAGGTGGGAGAAGGAGGGGGAGCAGGAGGAGGAGGGGGAGGAGGAGGAGGAGGAGGAGGAGGACGAAGGAGGAGTGAGGAGGAGGAGGGGAAGGGGGAGGGAGGGATGGGGAGGAGGCGGCCAGCCAGGAGCGGGAGGTGGAGGAGGCGCGAGAAGAACGGGAGGTGGAGGGAGCGATGAGGAGGCGAAAGATGAGCTGGAGGTGGAGGAGCCGCCTCCCCCCAAAAGACGGGACGGGCAAGGCTGGATCAAAGAGGAGCCTCCCCGCCCCGTCCAGGAGGCGCGCGAGCAGCTGCGCCAGCAGGACACCGCCCGGCGCCGCCGCTGCTCCCGCCGCTCGGGGGCAGAGGGGGCGCGGCGAGCGCAGGGAGGCGAGGGAGGAGGGGCAGGGATGAGGCGAAAGGGAAGGAGGAGGGAGGAGAGGGGAGGGGGAGAGAGGAGGCGAGAGGGAGGGCGAGAGGGAGTCTTCCTCCACCACCTCCTCCTCCTCCTCCTGTGTCGTCCTCTTTCTCCTTCTCCTCCTCCTCCTCCTCCTTCTCCTCCTCCTCCTCCTCCTCCTCCTCCTCTTTCGTCGTCGTCGTCGTCCTCCACCTCCTCTTCCTCCTCCTCCTCCTCCTCCTCCCCCTCCTCCTCCTCCTCCTCCTCCTCCTCCTCCTCTTTCGGCCTTGCCGTAACCGGTGTAGCTCAAGATGCCAAGTTCTTCTGTGACTCCGCGGAGACCTCTGATCGGAGGCTTGCTCTCGTCTCCCGGCCTGTTTCTCCCCAGGTCTGGATTTCTGCGCCAGAGCGCAGGTGCTCAGCCTCTCGCACTTCTGCATCAGCGCCTGCGCGTAATCTGAGCATTTCCAGGCCGTCTTTCCAAACTTCGTACGGTTCACTACGTTTGCTTGCTTGCTTGCACGCTTGCTTGCTTGCTGAGTTGCGGATTCCAAGCATGCTCGATTCCTCTGGTCGCTTGATTTGAGTCGTCTAACCGAATTGGAGTCACCGCTGGCTGATGTGTCACTACGTATGAACAAATCATAAGAATAAGCACCCTGCTTGCGAGCTAGAACCTCGTCTGGGACGGTCGGGATGTTGTCCTCTTTCTGCGACGCACGGCTAACAAAGCTCCGCCGTGGACGCATGAGGGCACAGGGGCCGCAAGAGCTTCCGCCGATGCCCTCCTCCTTGTCCTCCGCTCGGAGGAGGAGGAGAAGGAGGAGAGCAAAGATGGGGAGTGAGGATGGTCGGAGAAGAGACATCAGCAGAATCATGAACTTTTGGCGGTATGCGCGGATGTCCTGGATCTGCCCTGGACCCCCCTCCCTGTTGCGCGGAGCGCACCAGGGGCGGCGCCGGAGGCGCCACCGCGGGTCCCCAGTGCCGATCCAAGCAAGCCGTGCGGACCGTCAACAGTTTATGTTTATGTCATTCTTCCTCTGGAGCGACGAACCTTGAGGATCCAATCTGCGCTCATTAGCCGAATGGTTCCTTGATTAGTGTCTGGCAGCCCTTGGTTCCGAATTGGCGTCAACAGCCTTGTCCAGCATTGACTTGTTATTTTGGGTAGAGCTTGCATCATCGCTCGCTGCGGGCC